TCTACTTAAACAACACCACTGTCATAAGTCTGTAACTGAGTCTAGGGTCTTTAGCTCTTTGATCTTAGTGATATGACTATTGTAAGTGTGTGTTGAAGTATGGGAGTTTGGACAGCACTAAGATCTTAGCGATATTCTAATTGTAAGTAGGGGCAGGGGTGGCCCAGTCGTCTAAGGCGTCGCGATTCGCTGTGCAGAGTTGCATCCCTTGGGCATGCCAGAAACCTATGATTGTTACAGGTTCGAATTCAGGTGTGTGCCCTGATTATGTTTCTAGGTTTGTCAGCACCATACCCGTGCTCGTGGGTTTCACCGAAGTGGTAAACATCTGAGACCTCCATCACTTCGGGCTTTCCTCCCACATTAAGCTGACACGCCGTGATATAACTGGAATACTGTTAAAAACGGAGTTAAACCCAACTCAATCACTCACTGTATGGATATCAAATAATGTATTCATAAATAACACAACAGGCCATTCATGATGCCCAGGTTTGGACTGTACATTGTACAGGTCTACATGAAGATTGGCCTTTGAAGACAGATGGGATCCATGTGTATATAATTTGGCTCTGAATGGCAATCCAATGTACATATGCACATTTAAATCAGTTTATCAGTGATTGGGGCAACCTCTGATCTGATAGGCTGGGCTTGAAATGGCTATAGTTCTTCAGTTCCCTAATTTAACAACCAGGCTTGGCCAAATTATTTAGATGGTCTTTGTTGATTTGTGTGCACAGCAATTTAGGTGCCTATTCATATTGAATACATGCTCTGTTATCTCGTTCACTGAGAGTGAACAGTGGTACAGGCTTTGAGCTTTGCCTCGGGTCAGGATGACTGCCAAGCCATTGTATAGCAACCATTTAGCAGTTTTATGTGTGCAAAATCATGATTTACAGTAGGTTTTGTGTCTTGTGTTTAGCCTAAAAATAGCTCATCCCCAAAACAGCATTGGATACCAAATTTTCACAGAAAAGTTTGGTTTACTGTTTGAAGTAAGAGGTTTGAATTTGTGATTTCTTTCCCAGTGTGGTTTTAATTCCTGTGACAAGTATACCATGCTCTACTTGAAGTATGGACCAAACTGACCAACTGTTTCCCTGATGTTTGGTATGGCCTATTTTCAAAGTGGGTGAGGAGAAATTGAGCTTAACGTTACTGAGAAAAGATTATTTCACTTATAGAATGATGTCTGTGTGTGCGCACGCGTGAGTGTGTGTGTCACTGTGTGTCACTTATAGAGTGATGTATGTGTGTCACTGTGTGTCACTGCATGGACTAGTCCCCACAGTTTTATAGCGCCAGCCCACTGAGACTCCATGCTAGCCCACTGAGATAACATGCTGCAGTTTAACATGAATGCTAAACTAAGACCCATACACTGACTCTGAGCCAACCAGTTGTTTTAATCCTGTGATGCCGAGGGCCAGACAGGGTAACAACAAGAACCATCTTTTACCATCATTTGGTTTGACACGGCCAGGGATTGAACCACTCACATTACAGCCAAGTGCCAGTGACAAGTCCCTCTCATTGTGATGTTTTGCGTTTCATTAAATTGTCTTTTGATATATATTACTCAAAAGTAGTTAAAGAATTCAATTCTTTCATATCACTATAGTTAATCTGTCATGGCATGTGGGGTGTTCTTTAAATTCTTTTGAGTAGTATATAATAGAAAGACACAATCAATTCATTGTCCTGAAACTGAAGAAATCTAGACTTGCCACAGTAGTGAAGAACTGCATGGGGGATTCTGATAGCTATAGTATAGGGTCTGTATGAGGCACTGTTGAAGTGTAATGATGTGGACATGTAAGAAGACGGTGCTTATGTGGAAAAGGATGAGTTCATCAAGGGATGGTGAGAATGGGGGAACAAGTAGCGATGCGGTAATAAAATCTGATTTGAGTTGTTCATATAGTGTGAGTGATGACATAGAGGTTATTTGTTAAGTCATAGACAGGTGAGAGCCATGCGTCTTGTCTGTTATCAAACAACACATGGTAAACAAGGGGCCTGTGTCTGCCAAGTGCTTAGACTTGCTGCAAGTCTGTACTGAAAGATACGTCCACGGATATTTAGTATTCTATCCACCTAATAGGCAGGTCTAGATTAGGACTCCGGTCTCTTTTAGGGACAACTTGTTCTTGTTATATTCATAATCTAGAAATTATGATTTAAACTAATAATTATTGCCTAAGAGACTGGTGCAAGTCTAGGGAGTGCTCTACAGGGGAAAGTCACAGCTTGTGGTCTGCGCAATTAGGTCAACTTGGTCAACCTGTCACCTTCTCATGAATGATAAGCAAGTTCTGGTTTATTTAAACATATATTCTCAATCAACATATGTTCTATGTCTGATATTTGGGTTGTTGGGTAACCTAGTTATTAAAATTTTGTTTGTTATGCCATTGATCTATGTTCTATTTTACACATGGTTGTAAAACCAGTTTCTTGTCCCTTGGCTGAAATATTACTTGACATTGCTTAGAGCATACACAATCATTCTAGATTCCGTCTGTACTAGTGGGAAGAAATCAGAGAATGCTACGAAGTAAAGTAAATGTAAGAAAGAAATTTGGTATGTATCCTGAAAATACCCCAAAATTGCTTGGCAAGGAGTGAACATACCAGATACTGACAATTCACAAAAAGACTTCATTTGTTGATGTCTTTTGTCACTGCAGGGCCAATAAAAATGTTTCTGTCACAAAAGCGTTTTTATTGGCCCTGCAGTAAGCATTATTCTGCAATATGGGTATATGTTCACTTACTTTTTTCTGTCAGTATTAGTACACATATAACATTTCCAGTCTATTCTTGATCTTGTATTTATATTTACACCAGTCTGCGAATGTCCTTCGCTCTCTCTCGAACGATAACAACTTTTTACCTGCATAATATATTGGAAGACATTGTTTGAAGGAGGGAGCTGTGCCAAACCCATTCATCGTGTGGCAGTCTCCTGATGCACTGCTCAGATACAGAAGTTGGCTGCAGGTTTAATTGTTGCTATATTTTTGCTTGGAAAGCAGGAACTGAGATGTTCTCCATCTTGTAGAATGCATCTGAGTTTTTGTAAGATTTTTCCTGTTGGTAGTGAGATAAAAGATGGGGGCATTCCTGAGGTAGTTACGTGTTTTATTTAGATGACTTTATCAGGGGCACTGGTGGCCCAGTCGTCTAAAGCGCCGCGATTCGCTGTGCAAGGTTGCGTCCCTTGGGCACGCCAGAAACCTATGATTGTGGGTTCGAATCCTGGTTCGCCCGATTATGTTTCTAGGTTTGTCAACACCATACCCGTGCTCGTGGGTTTCACTGAACTGGTAAACATCTAAGACCTGCATCACTTAGGGCTTTCCTCCCACATTAAGCTGACGCGCCGTGATATAACTGGAACACTGTTAAAAGCGGCTTTAAACCCAACTCACTCACTCACACACTAGATGACTTTATCATGGAATGTTTAAATATGCATTTGGAGGAAGAATACATAAACGTTTGTTTGTTGTTTAACACTGCACTCAGCAATGTTCTAGCTATATGATGGCGGTCTGTAAATAATATGGGATGCAATGGCATGCATCAACCAAGTCTGACCACCGGATTCCAGCAGTAGTCTCTAGTGACAAGCATGGGTTTCTGAAGACCAGTTCTAACGATCATATTCACTGAAGAATACGGCAGACCAACAGTCTCTGAATTCTGTGGTCTACCTCTGGTGCATCAGGCTTTATTAAACATGTTTTTAACACATATTGCCAAAACGTTTTACAGGCTGAGACACATGTTGATTATTTATGAGATTCCGTTAATTCCTATGGAGTAGTGGTCAATGGGAGATAACTCCTGCTGAAACACATTTTTAAAGATCCCATCAATGGTGCAAGATTGTTGATACTGCATGAGTAAATATCTATGTAATTAGGTGGGACAGATGCAGGTGATGTCAGGAAGTGTTCAGATATACTACTCAAAAGAAGTTAAAGAACACCTGATTCTTTCTATATACTATAGCTAATATGTCACGGCATGGCAGGTATAACTTTTTTTAGTGGTTTATATTAGAAAGGACACAGACCATCACTTTATTGTCCTAAAACCGAAAAATCTAGACTTGCCAAAGTATTGTAGACTTGCTTTGGGTTTCCAGATTGAAAGGATCAGGGTTTCTTTGACAGATTGACTATAGTAATATGAAAGGATCAGGGTTTCTTTGACAGATTGACTATAGTAATATGAAAGGATCAGGGTTTCTTTGACAGATTGACTATAGTAATATGAAAGGATCATGGTTTCTTTGACAGATTGACTATAATAATATGAAAGGATCAGGGTTTCTTTGACAGATTGACTATAGTAATATGAAAGGATCAGGGTTTCTTTGACAGATTGACTATAGTAATATGAAAGGATCAGGGTTTCTTTGACAGATTGACTATAGTAATATGAAAGAATAAGGTGTTCTTTAACTTCTTTTGAGTGGTATACAATACAGACACAGACACACCACCATGGGGATTCCGGGGTAGTTCCCCAGTATTCCTTGCTTGACAGCCACGGACATGATAATGTGATACCAACAAGTTAAGAAATGTGCTTGTTATGTTTTGTAGAAATACCAACATCAATGCTGGTTGTCTTCCTGTATCCATAAATAGGATAGGCTGCTTCAGTGGAAGACTCCATGTCTTCAAGCAGCATGCTCAGAGTGCTTGACAACAGATTTTCAAATTTTATTATCAGCTCCCTGGGGAGTATGTATCTGCCACTCCGACATAGTACACTGACACTGACAAGTCATTGTTTTATCCCCTTTTAATGGATACATCTTTCATGTCTTTTGGTATCATGCAACTGGGTATCGAAATCACCAACCGTCCCGTCTCTGGGCAGACTCTATTCACATAAACCATGGAGACAGTCGGACACACCGGGCAAATTCCTACCCACTGTAAGCTGATTGTTATTAGCTGCTGTTGTTGTTTCAGACACAGGCCACACCTGTAGGTACGAGGGTCGGACGTTTCATGACGGCGAGAGCTGGCAGCTGGAGAAGTGCACGATGTGCGAGTGTCGTGACGGGCTGACGTTCTGCAAGACGAAGACTTGCAACGCGCCGCTGTGTGGCTGGATGGTAATCCCCGAGGGAGAGTGCTGCCCTGTGTGTAAAGGTAAGGCCAGCTGGTTCATACAGGAGCTTTCAATATCAGACGGGGGGCGGTCGGGTAGCCTAGTGGTTAAAGCGTTCGCTCGTCACGCTGAAGACCCGGGTTCAATTCCCGACATGGGTACAATGTGTGAAGCCCATTTCTGGTGTCCCCCGCCGTGATATTACTGGAATATTGCTAAAAGCAGCGTAAAACCATATTCACTCACTCACTCAACATCAGACGTCACTTATGATTGTATGTCCAACTTTAACATCTTTCATTTATCCTGAATGTAATTATACATTGTGATTTTCATTGATGCTTTGATCTATAATCTATAACCAGTCCAGACCCGTGAATAGGTTGGAATAGGTCTTCAGCAACCCATGCTTGCTAAAAGGCAACTATGCTCCTGACGTCATATAGCTGGAATATTGCTGAGTGCAGCGTCAAACAAACAAACAATATAAACAGTCCATATAAACAGTATATGCTGAAAGATTGGAATATTGAAGAAAAATTAAATTATGTTCATCATTTGTAAAAACAACGAAGAAAGAATTAAACCTCCCTGTTAGATTGTTTTTTGATATATAGTGTAAAGTGGGATACCCGGTGGCATCAGTCTTTAAAACCTGAATGTCTCATGCTGTTTCATTCCTTGTGATGCAGGCTGTGTGTCGGACTCTGGCAGCCTTTACAACAACTCGGATGTCTGGAAGGAGAACCCATGTGTGACCTGTCAGTGTGATGCTGGCCAGGTGCTGTGTCAGGCTGAGATGTGTGCTGTCAGGTGTTCCAAGCCTCGACAGGTGCCCGGACAGTGTTGTCCTGTGTGTGATGGTGAGTGAAGGTGTCGGTGTGAGGTGTCGGTCGGGGGTGTCGGTGTGATGTGTTCGTGTGAGGTGTCGGTGTGAGGTGTCGGTGTGATGCTGGCCAGGTGCTGTGTCAGACTGAGATGTGTGCTGTCAGGTGTTCAAAGCCTCCACAGGTGCCCGGACAGTGTTGCCCTGTGTGTGATGGTGAGTGAAGGTGTCAATGTGAGGTGTCGGTCGGGGGTGTCAGTGTGAGGTGTCGGTGTGATGCATGCCAGGTGCTTTGTCAGGCTGAGATGTGTGCTGTCAGGTGTTCCAAGCCCCGACAGGTGCCCGGACAGTGTTGTCCTGTGTGTGATGGTGAGTGAAGGTGTCAATGTGAGGTGTCGGTCGGGGGTGTCGGTGTGATGTGTTGGCGTGATGTGTCGGCGTCTTGTGTCCCTAGCCTGGAGGGAACACAGGCAGTGATGGTTAGAGTAGGTGTTATTATCGTGATGGTGTAAGATTGAAGTGTGAGATAGAGTTATCATGTGAGGTGCAGGGATAAGTACCCAGACAGTGTGTGCTTTGTGAGGGAAGTATGAAGTTGTAGTGGAGGAGGTTGATCAATGAGTTGTCATGGTATTTTATTCTCAGTCCTTTCAGTTCACTGTACCTTGTACGCAAACTCAGACATGTTAGCTATACCTTTAAATGCAAAATAAATCCTACAAGAAGCTCTCATACAATCATCACCATCCTCATAATCCTCCTCCTCCTCCTCATCATCATCATGCTTCACATCAATTTTCTGATTTTAGACATTCCTGAAGTGGACACCCCACGACTCTGTCCCGATTCGCGGAACTGCAGTCTCACCTGCCACAACGGCCTGAAGAAGACGGACGAGGACTGCTTCTTGTGCAAGTGTAAGAAAGGTCAGTCTTGTAGTCGCCAAAACAGCAAATTCCAAATAGCTTTCAGTGTATTCCTGACATTTCACGATACGCGATACTAGGAAGAAAGAGGCTTTTGATTGCAGATCATTGCTCATGTTATCAATCATTGGTTTGCGTTGTGCATACTGGAGTATACACAGGCCAATGGGATAAAGCTGGAACATTATTAAGCACCATTCACTTTGTGTATAACGCCACATTATAATATTATATAGAACTATGTAGGAGAGGATGATTTGTGTTCACTATACGAGTCAAAATGCCGTGTTGGTTGGTTGGTTAGTTGTTTGACGCTGCATTTAGCAATATTCCAGCTATATGGTGGCGGTCTGTAAATAATCGAGCCTGGACCAGACAATCCAGTGATTAATATGAGCATCGATCCACGCAGTTTGGATCAATGACATGCATCAACCAAGTCAGCGAGCCTGACCACCTGATCCGACAAGCATAGTCGCCTTTTACGGCAAGCATGGGTTGCTGAAGACCTATTCTACCCCCGATCTTCACGGGTCCAAGTGCCATGTATCGGAAGTGCTTTAACAACATGTTGTGACACATTTAGTGCAGACCAGTGAACATCCTTAATGCATGTTGATATGAGATGCCTTGTTGCTATGGTGACACGTGGTCAAATGCACAGCGCACAGGTCACATATCAGGCGAAGTTAAGCAGAGAGTCCTTGGATGGGTGTCCGTGTTCGGCAGATTGGCTCCTGAGGGTTTCTAGGGCTTAGGTCCTGCCCCACACCGAAGCACATGTACCACATGTGGTGTCTCCTTTGGCGAGTGACTTTGTTCGAAATGTGCCTCTGTTCACCCAGCAGTGAGTGGGTACCTGGTAGGATGAGATGGTAATGTGGCTGTTAACCTTCTAGCGCCTCACAGGCAGCTTGGGTTGTATACTCCCCAGGGAGCTGAGAATGATATTTGAGTGCATGCTGATCCAGTGATGGAGTAATGATAGCGCTTTGAGCATGCATGTCCCTGTGTGGTGTGGAAATATGACAAAATAAATGACCTATTATTAATATTATTATTATTATTATTATTATTATTCTCCAGAAGTGTGTAAGCTGGACTGTAAGTTTGGCTTCACCACCAACACCAACGGGACCAAGAACTGTGAGTGCGCCCAGCCCCAGGATCACTGTCCCAGTCTCGCCAGCTGTGAGAAGCAGTGCACATATGGATTTAAGAAGTCAAGAAATGGCTGCCTCAAATGTCGCTGCAACAAGTGTCCGCCCTTCAACTGTACCAAGAGGTGTTTGTACGGCTACAACCTCAATGACCAAGGCTGCCAGCTCTGCAAATGCAAAGGTAGGCAAAAAGAATAACCGAATTACCATTATCTAAATTTGATAGAGATTTTTCATGAAGATACCATAGATTGAAAATTTCCGTTACTTATGAAAGTATGGCTCATTGAAAATGGCAGCAGTTTTGGTTTATGTTCACTTTGGTTTGAAAATATTGTTTTATAACAATATGCATTTTTTCTATCACTAATAAATGTGAAAGATATTGGTTCAATCGTCCCATGCTTAATGAAGCCTCAACTGTTTGAAATCGCCCACCCTCTTTACAGCGCCTTATGATAAAATAAATCCAACAGTCAGGGGTAAAAAGTGTTAAATATTCAGCAAGCTAAAGGTTAAAGATGAGGAATGATCTGTTAAAAGTATTGAGAAACCATGAGTTTCTGATCAGGATGATGAGCAAACATTGTCTGTATCACTGCTACTTCATCAGCATCTAGTTCCACAGCCATAAGAAAACCACAGGAGCATACAACAATGCATGTCTTGTTTCCATTGTAGAAGCCTTGATGATACCAAATACACCATCTATCGATTTCATGCCTGACCCTTCCATGTTTGGTGGCGACAAGTCGTGCATGTCCTTGAGTGGCCACCGTCATGAGGACGGAGAGTCGTGGCATGATGGCTGCCGTATGTGCTACTGTCACAATGGCCATGAGATGTGCTCTCTGATCGCTTGTCCCGTGCCACGCTGTGATAACCCCGTGTTTCGGCTGGGAGATTGTTGCCCATCATGCCCAGGTGAGTTGACTAGGTTGGAACAAACAAATATTTTCATGAGTTGCATAGCCATGAGATGTGAGAAACATGATATTTCACTTGACATATGGAATATCCTATTTAGCACATTTATTATATGATTTTGTGTAGTTGTCTTTCAGAATTTATTTATTTTTATTACAAATGTTTGTTTGTTGTTTAATGCCGCACTCAGCAATATTCCAGCAATATTACGGCGGTCTGTAAATTATCGAGTCTGGACCAGACAATCCAGTGATTGGCAACATGAGCATCGATCCACGAAATTCAGATCGATGACATGCATCAACAAAGTCAGCGAGCCTGACCACCCGATCCTGTTAGTCACCTTTTACGCCATAGGTTGTTGAAGACCTATTCTACCCCGGATCTTCACGGGCCCATTATAAATGTAAAACCTTAAAAAGTAAATTCTCCCTATCTAATATGCAGGGATGTTTACTCACCCCTTGTAATTGTGACGTAAAAAGTCCACCTCCCTGACACCTTCTTTGATGCGTGTGTCCCGTGAAGATTCTGGGTTAGAATAGGTCTTCAGCAACCCTTGCTTGTTGAGAGAGGTGACTAATGGGATCGTGTGGTCAGGCTCGCTGACTTGGTTGATGCATGTCATCATATCCCAATTGCGTGGATCGATGCTCATGATGTCAGTCACTGGATTGTCTGGTCCAGATTGATTATTTACAGACCTCTGTCATGAAGCTGGAATATTACTGAGTATGGTGTTAAACAACAAATAACGACAACAACAGGATCCACAACAAAAGGTAGACAGATGAATCTGCTGTGTTGGCACAACAAACAAACAAATAAACAAACAAACAAACAAACAAACCCTTGATGTGTGTAGGTGTACTGGGCATCCCGTCGGAGAACGGCAGCAAGCAGTCGTGTCAGTCCACCAATGGCCAGCACCTGGTGGAGGGGGAGACCTGGAGGATGGACGACTGCACCCAGTGCATCTGTCACGACGGCTCCATCCTGTGTGAGAGCGCCACCTGTCCCGCCATCCTGTGCTACCACCCCGTCAAGTCCGAGGACGAGTGCTGCGCCCACTGTGCAGGTAAGTGATGATATAAAATGTGTAGTTGATCAGTGGATAAGTTCTGATTTATTATAATCATAGCAGATGAATTGGGTTTAGGCAGATTATATTATGTTTTACAGTCTTGGTCAGTATGCCAAGAGGCAGGTAAAAAACCCAGGTTTATTTGAAGTTAATTTCCTAAAATGAATTTTGTTAAAAAGATTTTTTAATAATTCCTGTACATTTTTGTTGTTGTTACTTAACAATAAAATGCACATTTTTCAGTCAAAAAAAGAATGTACTTTTGCCAAATGTAAGGTAATATAGTAGGGTCTTCTAACTGAGAAGAAGAAAATCAAATATATAAAATCTAAACCCATCTGGGATTCCCAACAGTGATTGCTGAGTTCAGTGTTGCTGAATGAGGAGGTCACCCCTCACATTCACCTTGTCAGTAATGTATACTTATGTTTTCAGCCTCCGACCACCTCCCCACAGTTCACGTGTCATCCCGGCCCTGCAAGTCTGACTCGGGGGTGCTGTACAAGCAGGGGGAGGTGTGGAAGACCAGCCCCTGCCAGAGCTGCACATGCAGGAACGGCCAGGTGCACTGCTACTCCCAGATGTGTCCCCCCCTCAACTGTAACAAGACAGTCCTCAGGAAGGGCCAGTGCTGCCCGAGCTGCCTTGGTGCGTTCACAACGTTTGATATCCAATGTCGGGATTCCTGGGCTCAACAGGTCCCCAGCAATCAATGCTTGTCTACCCTTTTGTTATACCTGGGGTGACAAGGTCACTTGTAGTCCAGGCTTGTCTTCCTGGTGGGTATTCCTGGACTGAATAGGTCCCTTGTAGTCCAGGCTTGTCTTCCTGGTGGGTATTCCTAGACTGAATAGGTCCCTTGTAGTCCAGGCTTGTCTTCCTGGTGGGTATTCCTAGACTGAATAGGTCCCTTGTAGTCCAGGCTTGTCTTCCTGGTGGGTATTCCTGGACTGAATAGGTCCCTTGTAGTCCAGGCTTGGCTTCCTGGTGGGTATTCCTAGACTGAATAGGTCCCTTGTAGTCCAGGCTTGTCTTCCTGGTGGGTATTCCTAGACTGAATAGGTCCCTTGTAGTCCAGGCTTGTCTTCCTGGTGGGTATTCCTAGACTGAATAGGTCCCTTGTAGTCCAGGCTTGTCTTCCTGGTGGGTATTCCTAGACTGAATAGGTCCCTTGTAGTCCAGGCTTGTCTTCCTGGTGGGTATTCCTAGACTGAATAGGTCCCTTGTAGTCCAGGCTTGTCTTCCTGGTGGGTATTCCTGGACTGAATAGGTCCCTAGTAGTCCAGGCTTTTCTCCTGGTGGGTATTCCTAGACTGAATAGGTCCCTTGTAGTCCAGGCTTGTCTTCCTGGTAGGTATTCCTAGACTGAATAGGTCCCTTGTAGTCCAGGCTTGTCTTCCTGGTGGGTATTCCTGGGCGGAATTGGTCAATTGTAGTTCAGGCTTGTCTTCCTGGTGGGTATTCCTGGACTGAATAGGTCCCTTGTAGTCCAGGCTTGTCTTCCTGGTAGGTATTCCTAGACTGAATAGGTCCCTTGTAGTCCAGGCTTGTCTTCCTGGTGGGTATTCCTGGGCGGAATTGGTCAATTGTAGTTCAGGCTTGTCTTCCTGGTGGGTATTCCTGGACTGAATAGGTCCCTTGTAGTCCAGGCTTGTCTTCCTGGTGGGTATTCCTAGACTGAATAGGTCCCTTGTAGTCCAGGCTTGTCTTCCTGGTGGGTATTCCTAGACTGAATAGGTCCCTTGTAGTCCAGGCTTGTCTTCCTGGTAGGTATTCCTAGACTGAATAGGTCCCTTGTAGTTCAGGCTTGTCTTCCTGGTAGGTATTCCTAGACTGAATAGGTCCCTTGTAGTCCAGGCTTGTCTTCCTGGTGGGTATTCCTAGACTGAATAGGTCCCTTGTAGTCCAGGCTTGTCTTCCTGGTGGGTATTCCTGGGCGGAATTGGTCAATTGTAGTTCAGGCTTGTCTTCCTGGTGGGTATTCCTGGACTGAATAGGTCCCTTGTAGTCCAGGCTTGTCTTCCTGGTGGGTATTCCTAGACTGAATAGGTCCCTTGTAGTCCAGGCTTGTCTTCCTGGTGGGTATTCCTGGGCGGAATTGGTCAATTGTAGTTCAGGCTTGTCTTCCTGGTGGGTATTCCTGGACTGAATAGGTCCCTTGTAGTCCAGGCTTGTCTTCCTGGTGGGTATTCCTGGACTGAATAGGTCCCTTGTAGTCCAGGCTCGTCTTCCTGGTGGGTATTCCTGGACTGAGTAGGTCAATTGTAGTCCAGGCTTGTCTAACCTTTGGGGATTCCTGCTCTTAAGAGGTCTACAGTAATCCAGTTTTGTCTGTGGTGATCCCTGAACTGAATAGGTCCACAGTGTATTCCATGAAAAAATATGAAAATGGCATCAACATAAGCACATAATACTATATAGCCATTCAAGAATTGAACCAGTTGTAGGAATTCTACCAGTTTTCAAAATGGTTTTTCAAAATGTACTTCACCTGATTGAAGCCAATATGGAACAAGCTTGACCTGTATCATGTGTATGACCTTGACCCATATTATGTGTATATGACCTAAACTTGTATTATGTGTGTGTGACCTTGACCTGTGTTGTGTACGACCTTGACTTGTATTACATTGCGTTACAGAGGTGAGTCTACCAGGCATCTGCACCAAGGATGACATCACCTACAGTACTGGAGAGAGATGGCAGTCCGACAACTGCACTGAGTGTGTGTGTGAAAACGGTAAAATCCTGTGCATCCCGATCCCCTGCCCTCGACTGACATGTACAGTGATGATAAGGAAGCCAACCCAGTGCTGCCCCTCATGTCTTGGTGAGTAGTTCTCTGGTCACAGAAAGCTCAACAGCTTCTTTCAATGTCCATGTGTTTTCACATTGTTTTACTGTTTGACGTCATACTAGGGTGTACTCACTGATCAAAGTATTGATGTACTGCCATTGACCATGGCCTCATGGGTGCTACATGGCTGCCAAGTTAAAATATCTATATTGGCTTCCATTCTGTTTTAGTCTTTTTACTTATTTCCAAAATAAGCGAGATTTGATGAGATGTGTGTATCCATTCAGTGCATTGTACAAGACATGAATCAGGGTTACCTCCCTTACATGACCTTTAATGACCTCAGTAACTAAAGTGTTGGGAAAATAATCTCATGGTATTATAAGGTATACTCAGTTTGGTATTGTTAGAGTTAACAACAGTTGTATAGCTTTATGACTCTGTCGGGATTCTTGGTTAAACCTGGTCCCCAGCAACCTATGGAGGGGACCAAATCGGGTGGTCAAACTTGGTGACTTGCTCACAAAATCGATCACTGGATTGTCTGGTCCAGACTAGTTTATTTACAGGCTGCCATCATATAGCTGAAATATTGCAGAGTCTGTCGTCGAACAACAAACAGCTTTATGATATATTTATTGTTTCTAAATGGCCTCACTAGCCGAGACTTACCCTATATCAATGTGCTACAGATGCCTCCATTACCACAAGTCTCCTGGAGCGACACTTCCCCCGCACCACATCTGACCACCACAACAGGAGGTACACCACACAAGGTAGGACGTATCTCCTCTTGTCAGTCAGTTGCTGCAGTAAAAAACATCCATTAAGGCATAATCATTCATAAACTCATCAAGGAATATTTCTATACACTTTTTCTGACCTGTGTAGATACAGGGTAGAATAGGTTTCAGCAACCTTTCTTGCCGTAAGAGGCGACTATGCTTTTTGTAAGATTTGACTAACAGAATTGGGTAGTCAGGCTTGCTGAATTGGTTGATGCTTGTCATCGTATCCCAATTGCGTAGATAGATGCTCATGATGTCAGTCACGGGATTTTCCAGACTTGATTATTTACAGACCTCCGCCATATAGCTGGAATATTGCTGAGTGCGGCCGGCATTAAACAACAAACAAACAACAACAGCCAGTACATATGTTCTAGATGTTCCACAATAACCAAGCAATTCTTTCTGTGGTGTGCATGAATCCAATCTCTAATGTTCCAGGCCCGACAGAGGACTTCAAAGCAAAGGATAACTACATGATCGGGATTGTTCTGTTGGGCGTGCTACTGTCCATTGCTCTGATCGCCGTGCTGGTTCTGGTGCTGGTCATCCTACGGCGGCGCCACACTGGGATGTTCAAGATGACCGACAGTCCTGTCGTCACCAAGATCAGACCCAAGTCCACCAATCTGGAGCTCCAGGGAGTCAACCCCTTCTTGCTGGACTCCCCTAGCAAGCAGATCAACTGTGAGCGAAAACAGAAACTGGAGAAGCACCTTGCATCCTTGGGACCAGCTGTAATAGCCAACGAAAAGAGCAAACTGGACTTGTCACCCAATCACCAGTATCAGCTCATTAACACTAACCCAGACTTTGAGCCTAAGAAGGATCCACCACTTACAAATGGGAACTGTGTGTCTAACAAGACATTTGACCAGGCATAGAGTGTAAAAATGGGAGCATTTGGACTGGAAGAATTCAGATGGAAGAGAAATGGTCTGAGGTGATTTTTGGTGCAGATATGTTGGTGATTATCATCACCGTCATCGGATGGTGACGTGACTGCCGTCTTTGGTGCAGGGTGACATCCTTTGTGACAAAGCTGGGTTGTGATGACTCTAATTGACGATCCTTTCGTAGTTTGCTAAGCAAGCTACCAACCACATGGTCTGTGTGTTTGACTGCATAGCAGGCATTTTGTGTATATTAGCAACATGCACAGACCGGACAGTGGGTGCCACCTTGATCACTTTCTGAAAGCCGTTCTGTATATCCACAGCATCCACCAAACAAACAGCCTTGCTTCAGGGATCAACGTAAAGCTCTTCTTGAAAAGGCCACTGTTCACAACAAACAGAAAACCACAAGATCCTCTATGTTTCTTGGGAGATCAGAAGGTTCTCAAGTCAAGAAAACTGTTCCATGGTGAACACAAAACCAGATCATGAGCCCTGATTATGAAGGTCAATGTTCAAGGACAAACAGAAAAACCCTGATTCAGCCTTGATTCCTCCATATGAAAACAGCAGCTTATCCAGACATGGGCACTGTAAACATTCAATATTAACCTAAACTATCAGCCTTGATTTTTGGAATAAGGCACAACTTATTTTTAATAATTGCCAATCAAGGTTACTGTTCACAACAAAAGGAGGCTAAGTTCCCAGGTCTGCTTCATGGAGTAATGAGTTCTCTAGCAAAGGTCACTGTTCACAATAAGCAGAAAACATGTCCCCATGAAGCAGGAAGCCTCTTCAGCAGCTTTGCTTGGATGGAGCCTTCAGAAGTACCCGAGAAGGGTGCCTCATTATTTCAACACCTTTTCACCGTGCAGTTTCTGTTTCCTGCTAAAACGCTACCACAGCTGGCAAGGCCTCTGAGAAGCAAGCTGGTTCTTGGTGGATGCTGGAATACGACGGATTGACTACATAGCTATGTACATGACTGATTTGGTGCAAAGAGAGAATGTGAGAGTGTGTGAGAATGAGATGATGAACATGTGAATGCTGAGTGAGTGAGTGCGTGAGTGAGAATGACACATGATGGAGTACAATACCAGCCACATTACAGCGGATCTGACTGCGTGCAATCAAACTTGGGAGAATATTATACTTTAAACATTTGCCATCATGTGAGGCAAATTTTAACCACCATATTAAGTCCATGACGTTTACATTATTGTTGTTGATTACTTACAAAACAAATCCTCTATTGTATGATCCTCTGTTGTATGGACCTCTGTTGTATGAGCCTCCATGTGGGTGGTGTTGATCGAGGTGCCGCAGGTGAGATGTGTGTGTGAGACCTCATTGAGGTCAGGTGACATCTATTCCTGTGACTCTGTTGCTGTTATTGTGAAATGTAATCACAAGATGTAAGGTTATTTGTGTAAGGTTATATTTATTACTCAGTGAGCATCTATGAGAACTGCTATAGGATGTCCACATCAAGTACTGGCGACCTCTGAACTTGCTAAGGTACACTCCAGCGACACAGGTATTTCCAAGATGGAAAAATAATTGATCAACCTTGAATTTTATTACAGTATTTTATTTTTCAACTTTGGCAGGAACTTTTGAATCTGATAGATATATATAAATTTATTGTTATTTATTTTATGTTAAATGTAGTGTTGCTGTTTCTTAATGATATTCAGCCAGGCATGACTGTCTCGGTTAGTGACAGTGATCTAAGGTGTTGCAAATCTCAGTATAGATTTGTCTCCCTTTGCCATCCCAGGATCCATAGACTTGATCCCGAATTCTTCCTGATTATGGTCCTTGGTCTTCAGCAACATACCTGTGCCCTTTGGTAAATAACCTGCATCACTTTTGGCCTTCTTCCAACATTAAGCTGACATTCACCCTTATTACTGATATGTTGTTTAAAACAGAGATAAACCTCACCCTCTCACTTAAAAGTGTGTCACCAGTGCATCAGAGGAAGTCCAGAGTTCCCAGTGTTATCTGTCCCGTCTAGTCCATGATGCTTCAGTGTGTCATTTCATCAATAGCCCATCGTTGTATTCTGCTTGTTCAATCATCCCCTACTGCTTGTGAGTCATCATGTACAAGATGTACACTATGTCCATGTATACTATATTGCTTGTTAAGTGGTTGCTTTGTTTGTAATAATGCCATTTATATCTTGATATATTATATTGTTTGTGTATGTGCTTCTGTTATTGGAACATCTGTGTAATACGTCTAGCCATTTATTGGATTTCTTCTTGGAGTATTTAAAAAAAATTGCTTATTGAAACACATACTAATTATTCAAGAATATTTGAATGAATTTCACCATTGTTTCATTGTTATGATAACATACATCATTAATGTTTTTCGAACTTGATGAAATTTCGATAAGAATTAGTATTTGAAAGTAACACAAACAGAAGAGTAGTAGCAACAGTAGAATTCCTCATTCTTGTGACAAGACACTCAACATTAGCAAAGGGTGTCTTTTGTACCTCCTCCGTGCCCCCATCGGGATAGGATACAAGGTACACAAAACACTGGGGATAAGTGGGACACATGCCTTCAGTAATAATGTTATCCACCAGTTCAGAGTATGTCCTTCTGTATGGACCATGTTGTCCTCCAGTTTAGAGAATGGCCTTCGGTAATATTGTTATCCACCAGTTCAGAGAATGGCCTTGTCTATGGACCATGTTGTTCACCAGTTCAGAGAATGGCCTTGTCTATGGACCATGTTGTTCACCAGTTCAGAGAATGGCCTTCTGTATGACAATGTTGTCCTCCAGTTTAGAGAATGTCCTTGTCTATGGACCATGTTGTTCACCAGTTCAGAGAATGGCCTTGTCTATGGACCAAGTTGTTCACCAGTTCAGAGAATGGCCTTGTCTATGGACCATGTTGTTCACCAGTTCAGAGAATGTCCTTCTGTATTGACGATGTTGTCCACCAACGGACGTGAAGTTCTTTAGTATGGACCATGTTGTCCACCAACAGAGGTGCAGTCCTTCAGTATGGACGATGTTGTCCACCAGGTCAGAGAATGTCCATCTGTATGGACGAAGTTGTCCAACAACAGAGGTGAAGTTCTTCAGTATGGACGATGCTGTCCACCAACAGAGGTGAAGTTCTACTGTGTGGGCAATGTTGTCCACCAGTTCAGAGTATGTTGGTCACATCGTTACCTTTGTAAGACTGTGTAAGTCTCATCCAAGACAACTCCTTCCTCTGATAACAATATTGCCTTCCAGTTGCAGTGGTGTTTATGATGTTGTCTCCTAGAGAAATGATGTTGTGCACCAGTGGTGATGATGTTCCTTCATGGAGACAATGGCTGTCTTTACAGTCACTGCCTGATGAGGATTTCCGAATGGGTATACGGTGGTCCTTCAGTTAGAAGACATTTCTTTCAGTGGAATTATGTTCATTAGCTGAGGGGCCATTTTCTTCCAGCAGAGATGATGTTGTCCTGTGATGATGATGCGATGTAGGGGGATGTTGTCCTGCCAGCAGTGGTGATGTTACCGTGGTGATGACCTGGCAAGGAGATGCTGTCCTCAGTGTTTGTCAGCCTGTATGTCTGTAATTAGATGATGATGATGATGATGATGTTTGTTGTTTAACGCCACACTCAGCAATATTCCAGCTATATGATGGCAGTCTGTAAATAGAGTCTGGACCAGACAATCCAGTGATTGACATCATGAGCATCGATCCACATAATTGGGATACGATGACATGCATCAGCCAAGTCAGTGAGCCTGACCACCCGATCCCGTTAGTCGCCTCTTACGACAAGCATAGTCGCCTTTCACGGCAAGCATGGGTTGCTGAAGACCTATTCTACCCCGGATCTTCACGGGTCTGTCTGTAATTTGATGTCATGTGAACCAAGCACAGATGTGATGAGACCTGTCCTGCCACGCCCACCTACTCCGGATGGGATGGAAGAACATGTGTGTGTAGCTTGTGTGTTATGTGTGAACTTCCTATAGCTCTACACCAATGATACATGTCCTTCATTTTATATATACATACATATATCTATTGCTACTGGTCAAGTGATAGAATTAATTTATGTTTGGAAATTTCTGTATTCAGTAGAAAAGTTAAATAGAAGTTGTGTGTCTTTGAATGAGGAGTGATTATAGGGCAAGTTTAGCTACAACCAAATATTTAGTGCTAATCTGTATATGGTTTAGGTTTTTGTCTGTTGTCTGTCTCAAGGTTTGAATTAATTTGACTTCATTTTGATAAGCACAAGCGCACTTGATCATTGCCTAAACTTTCTTTCTGTCTTCCAACTAACAGAAAAAAATATTATGGTTTTTCGAAATGAAATGAAATCTTAACTTTTCAACCTGGTCACTTTTGAAAATAACAACTGATAATGTAGCATAAACAATCTGAATTTTGAAAACTAGAATAACATAAGGACTTTGCATAGGAAGACTACGGAGTGTTACAGGGTATGAGATTGCTGCCTCGGCAATGGCGGAGATGTTGTCAGATTGTTGTAAGTTGCGATGTTGTTACGATGTTGCCAGAGACACCTCTGTGACTAACTAGGGCTGGATTTCTGCTGTCAAGCAGGACAAGGGAACAATGACAAGGTTATGGTGGCCATATTGGATTCCAAGTCGAATCCTTTGGGTATTGAATGCCAGTCAGGTTGTGATGTGGTCGATGACATTGATAGTTCATTATGAGCGGAGATCATTCCATAGTTTCCAAATGAGTTTAATGTATGTATGTGTGCTTCTATACCCCTGAATCTCAGCTTTTAGCATATCATTGCCTAGAATTGCCCTACTACATGCTTCCAATGTAAACAAGAGTGAGTGTGCGAGCTACAATAATGGTGATTCTGCCTGTGTAATGATAGCCTTATAGAAACAGGGTGTATACAGTTAATAAGTACTTCCTCAGTTTATCTGGCCTCCTTAAATAAGTGCATCCCTAATCATCGTCTCAATCAAAACACTGTCCCATGAGATAATAACAGCAAATTCTTGTGAATTTAGGCACATTTTACATTTACGAGACATGATTCAATGAGCATCAATTTGATAAATATTTCATAAACAATGATTTAAAATTTAAAATCTGTTAGTTTGAAACGAAAGGATGCAGTGGTAAATGCATTGAGACTAGAATAGTATATGAAATTTGCTCTTATTTAACATCCTATGTGATAAGCTGTATATTTAGAAAACCATCCAACCATCACTCTCTCACCATCATGAACTAACAAACAAAGGATATTCCTTCCCAAACACATTGTCATGATGTAGGAAAGATTACACTGTGCTAAGGTAAATTGGCCAGGATATGTTGGTCCATAATGCAGTGCCAGGATATATTGGTCCATAACGCAGTGCCAGGATATATTGGTACATAACGCAGTGCCAGGATATGTTGGTCCATAACGCAGTGCCAGGATATGTTGGTCCATAACGCAGTGCCAGGATATGTTGGTCCATAACGCAGTGCCAGGATATGTTGTTCCATAACGCAGTGCCAGGATATATTGGTCCATAACGCAGTGCCAGGATATGTTGGTCCATAATGCAGTGCCAGGATATATTGGTCCATAACGCAGTGCCAGGATATGTTGGTCTGAAGCAGTGTCTAGGAGGTGCATGAGCCTGTGATTCATCATACTGACAGGATGTATTAGTTCATAACACTATGGCAGTCTGTGTTGGCCTTGTGACGCATATGGTAGCACTATGTGACTATATTTTCCTATCACCGAGAACTATGTGTGGATATATTTCCTGATCAGTATGTGGGAATATGTCCATTATCTTGGCAGTATGCGAGGAAAGCTCTATATGTCTACCGTGTGAGGATATATCCAAGCACCGGTATGTCCATATAGCCTAGCATTGTGTCCTATAGCTACCTCTATGAGGATATGCACATTGTCCCTGTCCTTGACATTATCTTAGCATTGTGAGGATATGCCTGTATGTCCTATAGCTAGCTATATGAAGAAATGCCCATTTATCTTAGCATTGTGAGGATATGCCCGTATGTCCTATAGCTAGCTATATGAAGAAATGCCCATTTATCTTAGCATTGTGAGGATATGCCTGTATGTCCTAGAGCTATGAGGATATGCCTGTATGTCCTATAGCTAGCTATATGAAGATATGCCCATTTATCTTAGCATTGTGAGGATATGCCTGTATGTCCTAGAGCTATGAGGATATGCCTGTATGTCCTATAGCTAGCTATATGAAGATATGCCCATTTATCTTAGCATTGTGAGGATATGCCCATATGTCCTAGAGCTATGAGGATATGCCTGTATGTCCTAGAGCTAGCTATATGAAGATATGCCCATTTATCTTACCATTGTGAGGATATGACCGTATGTCCTAGAGCTATGAGGATATGCCTGTATGTCCTAGAGCTAGCTATATGAAGATATGCCCATTTATCTTAGCATTGTGAGGATATGCTTGTATGTCCTAGAGCTATGAGGATATGCCCTTGTGTCCTTGTCTCAGCGACAGTGGTAGAATGGGAGATCCCGACTGGCTTACTATTGAAATAGGGGTGGAAGGTTGATGTATTTGGTGCATTGCGATCGTTGTACATATTACTGTGTAAATATTTAGCTGTTGTTGGTAGATGTATGTGTATCATTGTGATGTTTTGTCTTTTCTGTCCAGCCAATCAGAAGCGGCGTACACCTCTGCTGGTCATGTGATGTGTTGTTATTCTGTCCAGCCAATCAGATGTGACATACACATTTGCTGGTCATGTGATGTGTTGGTATTCTGTCCAGCCAATCAGATGCGATGTACTGGTGATGTTACAGACATATGTAGCATGAAGACAGAAAACTGTAGGACATCTTTGTTGTATATAGTATTTTGTACTAACATAACACAAATGGCAGAGACTATGATCAAATTTCAAATTAAAAACTATGTGAAAACTCTTGTGTTTGTTTTGTGTAACAGGATGTCAGGACATGGAGCATATATATGTGATATATCGATTTAGAGCACCATCACCTGAACCCTTTGTACAGAAGGCATCCCTTATGCCAGCATTTCCTGGTAGTGGATTAGGCAACCAGCTTGTCCCTGATCGGGGTGACGGGGAAGCCTAGTGGTTAAAGCGTTGGCTCGTCACGTCGTAGACCCGTGTTCAATTCCCACATGGGTACATGAAGCCGATTTTCTGGTGTCCCCAGTTATGATGTTGCTGAAATATTGCTAAAAGCAGCGTATAACCATACTCACTCACTCACTGTTCCTGATTAAGACCGTTGGTTTGTGATCACTATATAATCACTCTGAAGTCTTTAATAAGCTACCTCCCCTGTGAACGCCTCCGTGGTTTAGTGGTAGAGCGTCCGCCTGGAGAGCGGAAGGTTTGGGGTTCGATTCACGGTTGCATTCTACCAAAAGACGTTAAAAGATGGTACTTGTTGTGACCCTGTCTGGCGCTCAGCATTAAGGGGATAAAACAAGGACTGGTCGGCTCGGAGTCAGTATACTGTGTCTGAGTGGGGTATTCATGTTAAACTGCAACATGATGTCCCAGTGGGCCAGCACTATAAATCAACATCAGTCCCGACTAGTACAAGCAGCCCCCCAAACACACAAACATGCATGCACATCCTATATAAGTGCAATAATCTTGGACGTGACATTAAACCCCATTTCACCTCACCTCCTCCGTGGTCTAGTTGGTCTAGTGGCTAGAGCATCTGCCTGGAGGGCGGAAGGTTGGGGTTTCGATATCCAGCAGCGTCATACCAAAAGACACCAAAAGAGGGTGCTTGTTGTTACCCTGCCTGGCTCTCGACATTAAGAGGATAAAATAAGGACTGGTTGGCACTGTTTACTGTATCTGAGTGGGGTGTTTATGTTTAACTGCAGCATGGTACGTATCTCAGTGGACAAGCAGTATAAAATAGTACAAGCGTGTGTGCCAGCACTATAAATAGGCATCAGCCTGGACTAGTACAAGCAGCTACACACACACAAACACACACATGACCCTTGAAGATCCGGCTAGAATAGGTCTTCAACAACCCATTCTTGCCGTAAAAGGCAACTATGCTTGTCGTTAGAGGCGACTAATGGCATTGGGTGGTATATGTGCGTGTTTTGTTTGTTGTTTAACGCCACTCTGATGGCGGTTTGTTAATATTCGAGTCTGGATCACACAATCCAGTGATTGACATCATGAGCATCAATCCATGCAATTGGGAAACGATGACATGCATCAACCAAGTCAGCGAGCCTGACCACCTGATTCTGTTAGTCGCCCCTTACGACAAGTATAGTCGCCTTTTACAGCAAGCATGGTTTGCTGAAGACCTATTCTACCGCGTATCTTCACGAGTCGCTTATCAATGAAGTTGAATTAGATAGTCCATACATTTATTATACTTATAATAAACCATGTAAAAAATGGCCAATATCACCTTTGCCTGGTCTATTTTTGTGAAGAAATTAATGAGGTTTGCATAGTTGGTCTGGTGTCGGAAACTCCCTCCTTGCGTGTAATAGCTAGCAGTCGGATGAATCTCATTTAAGTCAGATCTGTTACTCCTAATAAACCCGCTTTAACTCCTGATAACTACTCCATAGAACTTTCTAATCAGCTGTAGGAGTGGGCAGAGCATTCAGACCTGCATATCCGATTTCTGTATCCCGAAAACAAAGTTAAACAATCAGATCCAAATGTAAATGATATAGGCAGCACGAATATTTTCTTGGGGATTTTTTATACACCATGTCATTTCTGACTGCCATGGCTTCTATACCCAAAACGTGAGTACCACTGAAAGGAGATTAGTGTTCTGGGTTGGTTTTCTTGTGCTTAAACTAAAACATTCTGAATGAAGGTGATAAAATTATAAAGCTGAATCATTTTGAAAGCTGACATCTGATTGGCTCGAGAACACAGGAATCCATCGCATAGTTTCAAAGTTCACTAAGGATTCACCTAGACAACCTTACATGGACGGTTTGCCTGATCTTCAGGCTTAGAGGTATGTAGGCGAAAATTTAGTCTGTCTTACAGACCCTGATACAAATATATCAAATACAGCCCATGCAAGTCTATAATGTTTGGCAAGTCTGAAAATGAAGGGAGTCTCTGGGCTCCTTGTTTTTCTATTTTTATGAAGATAATTTAACAACTTTTTTTCAGAGACTAGATGTTAGTCTAGTGAAAACGATCTGATTTTGGTTTTAGATTGGCGGTCAGTTTCACATATTCCTTTTATCTTGCAGTCAGTCTCACATCTTCCTTTCGACATGGGTATGTAATATTGTTGCTGAGACCTCCATTACTGATAATGTGGTGCAAGCCGTTTGGTCACTCATATTAGATTTGTTTGTTTAACGCTACATTCAGCCATATTCCAGCTTTGTGACGCTTGTACATTGTCGAGTCTGGACCAGACAAACCAGTCACAGGTTCACAGAGTTGGACGACCTGATCCCGCATTCCAAATACGTATTGCTTACCGTTTTCTTCTATCGCAATACGTATCGTATCGTATCGGAAAGAGCGCCCCAATACCCAGGCCCAGAAGTGACCGCGCAAGACTAATAGACGTTGCTGGGAGACTTCTGTTAGCAATATTCCAGCCAAGTGACCACGGCCGAAAGTGTTTCCAGACATAAGTAACGTTTATATGTTGACAATAAATATACTTTGAGCTGGAGACCTTACATATTGACGGAAACGACTGAACTTGAACATCTTGAGCGCGTGATCACGTGACACGTGCTGTTAAGACGATGGCGATAACTGGTCCAGTAAGTCGACGGGAAAGTTCCATTTCAGCTGTTTTGATTCCCTTTGGTAGCGTTATAACAGAAATCAACTGAATCTTATTTCACGGACAGAAATAAGCGCATTTTCTCATAGTTTCACAAAAACTAACGTGCAGAGCAAGTGTACACGAAACAAACCAGGCTGATGGTCCCTGGACCAATGAATGAATAATAAGTAATTACACACTAGATGTTTGACTCTATCGCTTCTCAACGGGTCATCCAACAACTGTATTCTTTGAGTAAAGTCATAGGTCACCTGGACATCTATTTTTGATTCAATTTGTTTTTAACAAAAATTGTCATGCAAATGTCGCCTAAAGTACTGAAAGAAGCGCACGTAAAATATGTGAAACCCTCCGTTCACTTTCTTTGCAGTCGACAAAGGATCGGGGCTAGAAATGTGAAAAATACCACTAACTTTATTTTTATAACGATGGACGACATACACCCAATAAAAACTATGGTGTTTTTTTTAATTGAAAGTCTATTACAAAAAGCGTAGGTTTTTGTTAAGTGACAAGGACATAAGCGGTAGTACCAACGCTGGGCCAGCTTGAGCCATACGGACAAACGTGAACCTATTACAGGAGCATGGACGCATTTGCTATCAGATGCATTGATTCGACCTGCCACTTAATGTTAAAGGTTGGAAACAATAACATTGTTTACAGGTTACAGTAATACTTGTTTACAGTATTACTTATGAGCAGTAGCCGTGAAGATCCGGGCTAGATTAGGTCTTCAGCAACCCATGCTTGCCGTAAAAGGCAACTATGCTTGTCGTAAGAGGTGACTAACGGGATCTTCCAACAGTAAAGCCTGACAAAGAGTATAAATGATTCAAAACGATTTTGGTCATTTTTTTGTTGGAAAATAATAAATGATGTATGTACCAATGATTAATATTGTCATTTTGCAAACCTATTCTCATTTACGGATATTGGAAGTCCTTGTGACCCCCGACTCTTACACATTAACACAGGCAGATCCAAACACGGAAGTTATACAAGATATTCTTGATTCTCCAATATCAA